TCTCATTCCTGCGCCCTGGAGAAATTTGCATTCCAATGAAACAAATTCTTATAACGTCTTAAAGCAGAAGTCAAACGTTTCTGTTTGATTCAGGCAGAATCATACTTTGTTCTTTCTCGGAGATAACCCCCTTTTATAAAAAAAAATTACTTGATAACATACACTAGATATTTGATATGTCAATATGAAAATTTGTCCAAATTCAATATTTCATTTACTCCTTCAAAGACACTAACAATCTTCTTTCTATGCATTTAAAACCACTGACACTGCGTGCATACATTTTATTTTCCAGAATCCCTTTTAATTTCAAGTAACCGTTCCCCGTTAAATATTTTAGAATGCCAGACCATGTGAGTCTTAATATAATTGTTTGTATGATACACTCAATCTTCCCTTCAGTGATGCAATTTATGTTAAATCACTTGCTTATCACCAACCTTTCCTTTTTCCTAGTTTTTTGCTTCTGCTGTGTGGAAATCTTGAAAACAATTTATGTTCCCTTATGTTAGCTTAATGCAGAAGATCAGGAGGCATATTAATTTCACAAATTGTTAATCTGGGATATGCTAAATTTAATAATAACAAACTTGAATACATTGTTACAAAGTTATCTCTAATACAAAGATTTAATTTAGTCAATTGCTATACTGTTTTTAATACACCAGTACTTTTCCGTAGCTGTCATCCTGATCCTTTGCTGTGGCCTAACAAGCTGGGGGGTGTATCATCTCTGTCTTATTTGGAAGATAAATACATACCCCTTAGCCTTACAGCTGTAAGTCTAAACTATTAGACTAAATAAAAACAGAAAGAACTGCGGATGCTGTAAATCAGGAACAAAAACAAAGTCGCTGGAAAAGCTCAGCAGGTCTGGCAGCATCTGTGAAGGAGAAAACAGAGTTAACATTTTGGGTCCGGTGACCCTTCCTCAGAACAGTTCTGCGGAAGGGTCACCAGACCCAAAACGTTAACTCTGTTTTCTCCTTCACAGATGCGGCCAGACCTGCTGAGCTTTTCCAGCGACTTTGTTTTTGTTCGTAAAATATTAGACTATTGTCTTTACTCTGCTCTCAATCTCATGGTGCGTTTCTCCATCCACATGAAGCTGAGTAATGTCACGTGATGTTGGAGTACTAAGCTCTGCATTGCCTATATGTAGGTAGAACAATAATATTTGATCAATTAATTTTATTTTAATTGTGTGAATATAATTAAACTAAGTCAATCATGAAATGTTAGTTAACCCATTAATCCTACAATTCGCAAACTGGATGGATTAAACTTATGTAGCTGTGATGAATTTGAAAAACTTTTATTTGATTGACTTAGTACTCAGTATTGCAATGAATGTGCAACTTTCTCAGTATTTTGTGTTGCAATGACTGACTGACTGATTTCTTTTGTGGGTCCTGTATTACATATCTTACCGTCTTGCGACCAGGGATTTTTGTGAGATGTTAGATTTGTTCATTTCATTACATCATTTAGCCATGTTAATTGTCTTCACTTTTTATAGTAACTTTAGCTTTTCCAGATAACCACCTCAAAAATAAAGTCCCTGCAACATTTTTCTCACATCAAAAATGAACATCGAGACAGAGTCATACTGCATGGATACAGACCTTTCAATCCAACTAGTCCACGCTAATCATGTCCCCAAACTAAACTATTCCCACCTGTCTGAATTTGGCCCAGCTCCCTCCAAACTTTTCCTATTCACGTAATTATCCAAATGTCTTTTAAATGTTGTAGCTGTACCAGCATCCACCACTTCCTTAGGAAGTTCATTCTGCACAATACCCAGTCTCTGCATCAAAAAGTTGCCTCAAGTCCTTTTTAAAACTTTCTCCTCTCACCTTAAAAATATGCCCCCTAGTTATGACCTCTCCCACTTTAGGGCAAGGATCTTTGCTATTCACCTTATATAAAAACCAATGTAAGGTCACCCCTCAACCTCCAATGCTCCAGTTAAAAATGTCCCTGTCTATCCAGCCTACTTTTATAACACAAACTCTCCATTCCCATCAACATCTTGGTAAATCCTTCTGAACCCTCTCCAATTTAATAATATCCTTCCTATAACAGGGCAACCAGAACTGCACACATCTCCTGAAGAGGCCTCACCAACGTCCTGTACAGCCTCAACATGACATCATAAGGACTGAGCAATGAAGACAAGCATGCTAAACACCTTCTTAACCATCCTGTCTACCTGTGATGCAAATTTCAAAGAATTATATATGTGAACCCCTAGGTCCCTCTGTTCTACAACACTACCCAGGGCCATACCATTAATTACATACGTCCGGCCTTCGTTTTACCAAAATGCAATACCTCACATTTCTCCAAATTAACTCCATCTGCCACTCCTTAGCCCATTGACCCAATTGATCAAGATCTTTGTACTCTTAGATAACCTTCTTCACTGTCCACTATACCACCAATTTTAGTGTCATCTGCAAACTTACTAATCATGCCTCCTATATTTTCATCCAAATCTTTTATATAAATGACAAACAAAAGTAGATCCAGCACCGATCCCTGTGGAAGACCACTGGTCAAAGGCTTCCAGTCTGACAAACAACCCGTCACCACAACCCTCTGGATGAACTTTTCATCACATGACCTATTTGCTAATATGGAATTTAAATAATATGTTGAATTTGTTTAAGATTATGATTGACCTGCATGTATCTGTTGTTGCTTCCAAACTCCTCAATTATCTAAATAATCAGTTTTTTTTCTGTATGAAAATATAAAGTATAGAAATTGCACTGCATCTCTCTCATGTTTTCAGTATTTCAGGTTAACAAAATGACCATTGACAACCCATAGAGGCCCACTTAAGCCCTATTATTGAGGCAGGTGTTTTCCTGATGGGCCTACCAACTCCTCTGACCTCCAAAGCCTATTAAATCCATTTGTTGTAAAATGCCAACGATACAGACACAATACTACCACTAATTCTGCACCAACATAAATAATCAAAATCATATGTCAAAACTAACATTTAGATGCTATTTAATTTCATGATCCATCTGGTCTGTGTGCTTCCAGCATATGCATGATGTGCCCATGCTGGTCTCTAAACAGTCAGAATGCGTCTTGTAGGGAGCCTGCATTTTTGGAATTTCCAACTTGCATAGTGCAGGCACCATTGGTACTGCAAAGTCTTCTTTCACAGCCCTGTGGGTTTCTTGTATAGCTTGGTGTCAGATTTTGTTTGATAATGCTCTGGGATTTTACATAAATATTAAATATAAGTCATGAGAAATTTGAAGAGTTTATATGTTTTAGAAAACTTTTTTTTTGTGAGACTGATATAGAGTCATAGAGATACACAGCACAGAAACAGACCCTTCGGTCCAACTCTTCCATGCCCACCAGATATCTTAAATGAATCTAGTCCCATTCACCAGCATTTGGCCCATATCCCTCTAAACCCTTCTTATTCATATCCCCATCCAGATACCCCCTCCACCACTTCCTCTGGCAGCGCATTCCGTACACGCACCACCCTCTGTGTGAAAATGTTGCCCCTTAGGTTCCTTTTAAATCTTTCCCCTCTCACCTTAAACCTATGCCCTCGAGTTTTGGACTCCCCCTCCCCCCCCCACCCCGGGAATAGAACCTTGTCTATTCACCCTATCATGCCCCTCATGATTTTATAAACCTCTATAAGGTCACCCCTCAGCCTCCGAAGCTCCAGGGAAAATAGCCTCAGCCTATTCAGCCTCTTCCTATAGCCGAAATCCTCCAACCATGGCAACATTCTTGTGAATCTTTTCTGAACCCTTTCAAGTTTCACAATATCCTTCCTATAGCAAGGAGACCAGAATTGCACGCAGTATTCCAAAAGTGGCCTAACCAATGTCCTGTACAGCCGCAACATGACCTCTCAACTTCTATATTCAATGCACTGAAGAGTAAAGGCAAGCTTAGCAAACACCGCCTTCACTATCCTATCTACCTGCAACACTACTTTCAAGGAACTGTGAACCTGCATTCCAAGTTCTCTTTGTTCAGCAACACTCCCCAGCACCTTACCATTAAGTGTATAAGTCCTGCCCTGATTTGCCTTTGCAAAATGCAGCACCTCACATTTATCTAAATTAAACTACATCTGCGACACCTTAGCCCATCGGCTCATCTGATCAAGATCCCATTGTACTCTGAGGTAACCTTCTTCGCTGTATATATTTCAATTGGGTCATGTAGGAATCCACCTTTACTTCCTACTCATAACATTAGTCAATAATAATAATAATAAACTTTCTAGTATTATTGATAAAAATTAATACTTTGATATAGCTACTTGTCATTTTTCGTAGTTCTGTTGCCCAAATAATTCTATTTGTTACTCCAAAACATTAACCAAGCATTGGTGCAACTTGTGAATAGTACTGTTACGCTAAACTGGTATAGAAATGCTAATTAGGATTCCTTCATAGTTTAATGCATAACTAATCTACCTGAGGCCAGCAAACTTCACAGAGGTATCTAGCATAAAGTGTGTTTAGTTGATTATCATAAAAGGGAATTATTGGACTGTCATTCCTGGGTAAGGTCAAAATATGACTTTAGGAGTGTGTGTGCACCTGAATACTGGCTAGCAAATTAATTGGATTATTTGTGTGCATGAATTTTAACCATTTGCCACCTGATTGAACTGTATGCTGACATTGCAGTTTGAGATTACAACTTGCTTCCTTAGGTGGAGTACTGTTTACAGCAATTAACGGCCTTTTCTGTTCTTGCACCTTTGAAAAATTACAAATGTTGATTTGAACTGTTGATATGTTTTGGATAGGAAAAGTATGTTGCAGCCAATGTATTTCTTGGCCTGGATACTTTCTGCTGTGGGATTCTAGTCCCATGAGTGCAATTCTTCTAATAAAGTACATATCTTGTTGTTTACTTCAATTGATTAACTTTCAAACATGTTTGCATCCTGCATTGATTTAAATCTTGAGAGCTTTAACTTATCCAATTTACAGGTGACAGAAGTGAGGTCGATGAGTTTCCACTCTTTTGTCCGCTTCACAGTAAAGAGCCAATGAAGCTGTTCTGTGAGACCTGCGATGTGCTGGCCTGCTGGAATTGCCAGCTATCACAACACAAAGGCCATAGGTAAGGTGGAGGGAGATAATCTAACAGGAGGATTGCAAGGTCCCGTCTCCCTGCAAGTTTAAAGCTGCATAAGTTAGTTATCAAAACCCAATGCAGGATACTTTGCCTCAGAGTTAAGAAATTATTTAAGAAATTTTTGTGATGCTGCAACCAGTTTTCTGTGTATGGGTGGAACAATGTTTTTTTATTCAGATTGAATAGGATTAGAGGGTAAGGAAATAATGGGACCAATGTAATTAGAATTATATGCTTGAGGGTTTGAGGGTTGGAGCAAAATGAAGAAGCGTAAGAAAATGAGTCGCACAGTGTGATTCTACTGTGACTTTAAGAGGTATATTCTGTCCCTGTTTTTATTTTGAAGCAGAAGTGATGAGCTGCTTGGTCCAAGCCAATAGAGTAAGCAGCTTGCAAGGTCCCCGAGTGTTTGTTTTAAATTTAAACAATGGAAGCATGAGTGGCTGGAGTCAGGCTCCCAAAGAACCAGGGTTTTCGTTTAACTTTCAGCAGTTGTTGGGGTTTTGAAGATGATAGTGGAAACTGCCATATATCTCTCCCTGCTGCAACAAAATGTTTGAGTTCTCTTTCCAGAACTTTTTCTTGATTTTTTTTTTTTTTTTTTCTCCTGGGCTGGAGAAACATTGCATGTGAGACAATCTATTTTACTGAAGTTGCCTTTGCTAAGGTGTATTTATAGGATGTTATGCTAATAGAACAGTTGCTGTTTAGTTGTTAAATAATCTAGTATTCTGTTAAGTTTTCCAAGAGTTAAAGTTACTGATTCTTCTTTCTTTTGTTTGTATTTTAACTGTCAGGTAAGGATAATGTTTTGCTTAAAGCCGAGTAGTGTAACCAATCGAATTACAGCTGGAACATAGCACCTTACACTTGCCTTTAAATAAGATAAAAGTTAGGATCTTGGCTATCTCCTTCATACCTTTTGAAGGGGTTTGGTCTGGTCCCTAACAACAGGAAGAAGAAACAGGAATGGGGATATTTAAAATATCCAGCAGGTTGTAGGGAGAATCTACTTCTATGGTTATGGGAGAGGCTTATGATAAAAATTCATAAATGGGCCAAACTGATTTCGCAGTGGCTACTGAGGTGCTGGTTCTATCAATTTGCTTTTCCTATTTCTTGCTCACAGTTTCAAATATCTGGAAGATGCTTTACAAAATCAGAAGATGATTTTGGAGGAATTATCACTGAAAATGGGAGAGAAAAAAGTCAGCATCCAGAACACAGCAAAACAAGTAGAGGACAGGTAATGTGGTCTACTTTTACTAAAAAAAGATAATCACTGACTTAAAATTGGTTCAAGCAGGCAGTTTGAAATAAAAACAAATCTGTAATTTATTCTATATGAAGCTACTTAAGCTGATCAAGACTGAAAAAGGATTGAAACTGAGATGAATAAAAATTTAAACATTTCGGTTTAAACATTGAAGATGTTTGTTCCAAGTCTTGTTGCCAAAATATAAGAAGGCAATAGCCTTGCTAATTCAAGGACTCTGTATCAAGTTAATAAATACTTTTCTAAAAAGTCAATTAAAATTAGTCAATATAATTTCTAAAGTCAAATCCATTAGCAATTTTTAAAAAAATGGGATTTGACTTTAAATGTAATTTTTTTGACATTGGACTTGGTAACAAAAGCTGTTGCAACAATTTGTCCAATATCTGCCAATATTCTATTTAAAATCATCTGATTTATCAATGAGCATGGCACAACCTTCCATTGTTCTTCAGTGGAGAGCTGTTTCAGGATGCCTATTATGTGTCTGCAGCTCACTGGCTTGGGTCTCAGGTTTCATGGTCAACAGACCAATCAGGCACAGGAATTAGATACTGAGCCAATCAGTAACCAAAACTGATTCCTCTCACATTTCTTGAAAATAGTTCTAAGCTGTGTGTCTTGTATCTTTCAGGAGATTTTCATTTAAACATAATGTTTACTTACACAGCACATATTTATTTTATTTTTGTACTGGACTAATTGGTTTGATTTCAACTTTTTTGCTGCACTACTACCAATCAAGACATATCAACTGATATAAAGTCTCCTCTTTACATGCTTGGTATTTCGAGGAAAATTTCTATATCTGAACAACTCACTGTAGATAATATCCAATTTGTCAAAGGGGAGTTCTAGTGCCATTTTAAAAAGCTGGAACTGCACATTTCAGCCCTGTTCAAGAAATCTTGTTCCTTCAGGCTTGGCACTTCCAGTACAGAATACATATTGCTAGCACTATGTCATTCAGGAGAAAACTAAATAACACAGGAGGTCCTCTCAGAAGTGAAAAGTACTTTTTTTTTTTAAAAGTTGGTGATACTTGAGCACGGCTAGCGAAGCAAGGATTTGTTGCCCATCTCTAATTGCCTCTGAGAAGGTGATCATGAACTACTGCCACGAACCACTGCAGTTGTAGCTACATCAGTAATCCTGTTAGGAATAGAGTTTTAGATGAAAGTGAGGGAACAGCAGTATAGTTCAACCAGACTTGTCATGGCTTGGAGAGGAACTTGCTGTTCCCTGCCCTTATCCTTCATGTTACAACAGATTGCCGGTTTGGAACGTGCTATGCTAAGAACTTCAAGATGGACTTCAGTGACTCATTTTTAGATGGCACACACAACTACCACTGTGCCTCAGTGATGGCGTGCGTGCATATTTAAGTGTGTGGGGTGTCTATCTGTTGAACTGCTTTGTCCTGGATGGTGTCAATTTTCTTGGGTGTTATTGAAGTTCTACTTTTCTGACTGAGGGAAGGCACATTTTCTAGATTTTTGATTCTGATGTTTTGGTGTGGAGCCAGGGCAATTGTAGGGAATGACCATGGGTTGGCTGGAGGTTGTAAGGTAGAGAAGCTTGATACATCAGGCCCTGCTGCTTGCGAGATTGAATGTCACAGATCAGTTCAAAGGGTAGCATGAAGAGCAACCTTCGGGGAGCAATATCAGCTCGGTAAACTTGAAAGATTGCTTGTTCCATCAGTTCAGAGCAGGAAAGGCAGCCAAAGGTTGTCAGTACCATATAGATGAAGGGGTGTGGTTAGCTCCCTGAAATTAGAGGCCTATATACAGTAATTGCTCAGTGTGATTAGCAGTTGGGTCAAAAGAAAGCCTGTGACTAATAGAGTTCTTCTCAGAATAGCTAGAGTGCTGGAACTAGGCGCTATGGTGCAATCTAATTAAAGTAGTGGGAAATTGTAGTAAGAGAAGAGATTGAGAACTGGGAAGTGAGCAATCATTAGAGCAGGCTGAGTTTGAGTGGCTTTTGAGAGGAATAAATGGTTAGGTCTTTCAAAGAGAGTAGCTGAAATCCCTTGAACAAGAGTTTTAAAGGATTTTGTGATTCGGCTATTTGTTGATGTCTGGTTGGGTTGCTGAGAAATTTGACGGATCTGTCTTTGTTGTATCTGTCATTTTATGTGTAGTTTGTTTGACCATAGTTTGCCTGTTGTTTCATATTTATCTCCTGTTAATTCTACATGTTAGAATATGAGACAGAAAATTTTGACTGCTTTGCTGATTATTATATAGTAAAATATCTTCTGATGTTTAAACTCATGGAATCATATGGCTTTATCCTCTTCGTAGCAAGTGGGTTTTCAAATTTTGACTGCTCTACTGGTGCCTACCCAGGATTCTAACCAAATTGTAGGTCTTATCTGGGATCACAGAAGTGAGGAAAATTCCATTACATTCCCAACTTGTGCCATGTAGTTGTGCAAATGCTTTAGGAGGTCAGGAAACCTGCTTACCTCAGAATTTCCAGTCTTTGACCTGCTCACCATACTTAGTCACAGTATGTACGTTGCTGACCCATTTAAGTTTGGTGATGAGCAAGCATATGTTAATGTTTTGAGATTCAGTGATGGTAATGGCCACTGAAAATCAGGTAGAAATGGTTAAATTCTCTCTTGTTGGACATGGTCATTGTCTGATGCTTGTGTATCACAAATGTTTTGTGCCATTTATCAGCCCAAGTCAAAATATTGTACATTTGGTTTGGACATTTCCAGTGTTACTAGAATCACAAATGATACCAACCACTGTGCAGCCATAAACAGACACCCTGACTTCTGATTTTACTGTGGAGGGAAAGTTGTTGATGAAGAAGTGAAGATGGTTGAGCAAGGGTATTGCCTAGAGGAGCTCCTGCAGCAATGTCCTATGGCTCCAGTACTTGGCCTCCATAATGATCTTTCTTTATGCTATAACTCCAATTGATGGAGTGGTATGGCCCAATTCTGCTTGACATCAATTTTGGTAGGGTTTCTTAATACCACATTCAGTCAAATGATGCCTTGCTGACAAGAGCAGTCATTCTCAAATCATAGAACAGTTCAGCTCTTTTATACATATTTGGTCATAAGCTGTAATGAGATCTGGAATATGATGATGCTGACAGAACCAATATTAAGCATTGGAGAACTAAGTAAGAGCTATTTAATGCCATTGTCGCAATGACACCATCCATCATTTTGCTGAAGTTTAAAAGTAGACACCTTTGGTAATAGGCTGTATGGTTTTATCTTGCATTTTGTGCAAAGGATAAACCTTGGTGATTTTACACTTTGTTGAGTAGCTTCCCTTATTAGCTCTATTATTGTTTGTTACTCTGTTTAGAAATGACTTATCTCAAAAACTAAATATTAGATTTCAATAAAGCTTGGTGCACTGATGGAATATGGCCCACTACAGAATTGCTTAGTTTTTGGCAAAGATGTAGATCAGGATCTTAGAATTTTTTAAAAGATTCAGTAGAATGGCGCAAACTGACTTTTAAAAAGAATGTTGTGGGTTCTTTACTGAGGAGGCTTTCGATTATTTCAAACTGTTGATTGTTTCAGCTGCTGTAGTGCAATTTGTCACAGCTGTCAGAAATTGAGCAGAGCTTTCAGAGCAGATTGATGCAGAATTGCCTAAAGTCTTCTTAGTCAGAGGGAATTATTTGGTAAAGATTTTTCTTAGCTTTGTAGTTTCAGAGCATCAGCCAAGCAGGAAAAGGCTCGAATCTATGTTGCATAATTGTGACAGAGATCTGCACTCTCCCAACAACCAGTTCACTTGTTATATCTGTACTGGAACAACTTGACTAGGGGTATAGTTGGTTTTGGAGTATATCTCTGCTATTGCTGCAGGGATGCAATCAGGGCTCATTGCCTTTGCCATACCCAGTGCCTTCACACATTCTTAATGTCACATGGAGTGAATCAAATTGACTGAAGATTGTCACCTGTCTTGGGCGATTTGACATTTCTAGCTGAAGGTAATTGCACATGTTTCAGCCTTGACTTTTTTCCATGCTGATCTCCGCTCTGCTATCTTTGTGGATTTGTTGACACTTCTCCTCCAGTTAGTTGTTGAATTGTCCACCTCTATTTACGACTTGATGTGACAGGACTGTAGATCTTTGATCTAGTCCATTGGTTGTGAGATCTCTTTCCTCTGTCTATTGCATGCAATGTTTGCTCTTCTGTGGTTGTCCATTAGGCACTGTGGGCCAAGTTTGAGCTGCTAAAGCTGTTGGTACTATCGTATACATTGTGAATGTTATCCTCATTATGAAGATGGGACTTTATTTCCACATGGAAATCTGATGATCAGTACTGTTATGGAAATTTAAATTACTGAAGACATGTTCAAGTAGATTGTTCATTCTTGTTTGGCTCTTGTACCATTTTCTGCGAGTCCAGTCCTATGGATATACCTTTCAGGGCTCAACCACTTCAGTCTGACTGGTGCTGCTGAGCCATCCTTTGTAATGAATGGTGAATATACCATTCATTCTGTGTCCTTTCTAGTATTGCTTCTTCTTCCTAGTGGTGTTCAATATGGAGGAACACTGATTCATTATCTGAGGTTGTGGTTGGGTACTACAATTAATAATCATCAAGATGTTTCCTTGTTCGTGTTCAACCTGGTGTCATGTGATAATATTAAGGTTATGACGAACAGCACCCATTCACTTTGCCCTACCAGACCATCAGGTTGTTCTATCATTACCGAGAGATGACTGGTGGTAGGTTAACCTGAGGGTCACTGCGCCTCCGACAAGGGGAGAGGTTGAGAAAGAGAGGCCTTCATGGTAACATCAGTTGGTACGGGAATTTAACTCCTGCTGTTGGTGTCACTCTACATTACAAATCAGCCTTCCAGCCAACTGAACTACCAGACCCCCACCCAGATCAGTGACAATACTACTGTGAGATCTTTCCCTATACATTTATGGCTGGTTTGCTGTTCTGAAATTGGTAGAAAGAAAACAAAACTGAAAAATGATTTAAAACATATTTAATTCTGACTAGTGAACGTTAGTAGAAGTATACCAATAGGAATAGTCCATAGGAATTCCATGAGCCTTCTACACGATTCAAATAAATGATATTGCTGACAAATGGGACATGGTGTCAAAGCTGTTTCCATGGCATTGCATCAACCAATCAGACTTCACTTGCCAACCTAATCAGCACTTTGTTTCTGATACAGTATTATTTGTTGTTCCCTTTGAAAGTTTTGTAACTGTTAAGATGAATGAAAGACAAAAAGCTTCCACAGGACACCTTTTTTCAGCAATACACAAGTTCTATGTTAACAAGCAATTAATTAGATCACAATTGATCTGCAACTTTAGCCCATTTATCTATCTTGGTCTGTATTCCAAAACTGACCCAATGTTAGTTTAAAAATTTTAAATTGACCTAGTTTAGCAGGTTTGGGAGAGAAGAGAGTTGTAGTTTCCCACAATCCTTTGTGTGAAGAAGTGCTCCTTGACATTGTCATTAAGCAACTAAGCTCTAGCTTTAAAGTTGTTCCCCTCCCAGTTCTGCAGTCCTTCTAGGAAAAGATTCTCTCCACCTATCCTGTCAAATCCTTTTAACCATCTATCCACATTGATTGATTGGATCATTCCTAACTGGATGAGCATTGAACTTCGTATTGCCTGATGTCCTACCTACACTCATAATTAATAATTATGATCACAGCTATACCAGTGATACTAAAATTGAAACAATGCTCAAAACAAAAATATAAGGCAATTACTGAGCTACAGCACAAACCTTTCACTGCTTGAAAGAATGTACATTTACTTAGTGCCTTCCTCATCTATGGCTTGCTCCAAAAATGTTTAATGGCTGGAGTTGAGTCATTGTTGCAATGTACCCAAATGTGGTAAAGTCATCTGAACAACAAATGGTAAATAAGGAGGTGATCTGTTTTTTAGTAACATTGGTTGAGGAATCAGTGATGGTCAGGATGCTAAGAAAGTTCTGCTCCTTTTCTTCTAATAATTTTGTATTCATTCTTGATTTTGGGTGTTACTGACATGTGTTACTGATGTCTGTTCAGTGTCACACTGAGAACGTGGTAGTGGACTGCCTTCTTGAACCACTGTAGTTTATTTTTGTCAGAAAAATAAGTAGGTTACAGAATACTTGAAAATTTAGAAGGGTATATAGCAAACAGATGCAGGAGTACAAATACCAAGTACATAAAATACGTTATGATGCAAATCAATAATGCCATAACAAAAAAAAAACAAGTGCTCACATTCATTTCTAGAAGGATAAAATTGCAAAGTAGAGAAGTTATGCTAAGTTTGTTTGAACCTTGTTGGACAGTTCTGGTCACCACGTTATGAAAAGGATAGTGAGGCACTGAAAAGGGCACAAAAGAGCCTTTAGAATGGAACCAGATTGCAATGTCTACCCATCAGAAATAAATGGACTTATGAACTTACAGAATTAGTAGAATTATAAACGATATCTCATATGTTAGAGTTGATGTTTCTCTGCACCTTCTCTGTAGTTGTAATGCTAAATTCTACCTTCTGTTCTGTTAACCTTGTATGTAATGTATGACTTGTCTGGTTAACATGCAATATAATACTTTTCACTGTATCTCAGTACATGTGACAATATAAATCAAATCAAATTTTTGATGAAGATGCTGGGTTTAATTTTGTTTGAAACGAGAAGATTGAAGATAATCTAATAGAGTTCTTTAAAATTATTCAAAGTTTAATGGCGTAAACAGGAAGCCTTCTACTTGGGAAACAGCAAATCAATATAAGATCTTCCCAAAAAAGATCAAATATAAAATTCAAAACAAATTTCTTAATTAGAGTGTAGACAAATTAGAACTCTTAACCTCATGGAGTCTTTGTGACTAATAGAATGGATGACTCTAGGAGAAAGGTACAGAGAATTATACCAATAAAGTTGGATGAGCAAGGATGAAGGATGTTTCACGATGAGCAGAGATACCCACATGGACTGGTTGGGATAAATGGCCTTTATCTGTATTACATATTCTCTCTACATCTATGTAGTTCATGTGCTGAAGGTGCTAGAACATGTACAAGTCCAAATTCATGATATTTAAAGAGAGAAAGAGTCCTGACACTATCGTTTTCATTCTATTCAATTACCTTCCCTCTATTTGATCTTGCGCTTTTCAGTCCAGTGGATTCTCAGAAGGTGAAATAGCCGCAGGTTTGCTGCTCACTCTTAGTGGGTATTCAAGACTAGCAGGTGGATCTCCTCCCATTATTTTTCCTGCATTCCTTGAAGGCCAGCTCTTGGCCTCTGCTTTGTTTACACATTGGTAGCAAAGAAGGAAATAAGTATGTAGAATCAATTATTGACCTTCCTCTATTCCCTTCTTTAGGTTAATTTGAACATATTAAGCCTGGAGTAATCCTTTTCATAGACTTTCTTTAAAGCAACAATGTTTCTATGTTCCTAGCCCACTATCCATGGAACCATACCTCAGTGAGGGAATCAGCACCTTCAGATGGATGGGAAATGGAGAAAATTGGAGATTTTTTTTTCATTCACAGGTAGTCTCGCACTTGTGATTCCTCAGTTGTTTAACTTTTGATCTTTGATGTAGCATTTTACAGAGGCACGAAGCGAAAGTGACACAGGTCTGTATAAATTAGAAGGATCGCTGGACCAAGCATTTCAACTTGTTGATATGTGTAAGCTACCTATGGTGCAATAACATTGGTGGTGGATTGGGAGCTGGTTTTCAGCTTGTTCTTAATTGGAGAGGATGTATGCGTGTGCAGAATCAATAGAAAAGAGAAGAATTCTCCTAGACCCCTCTCCCACAAAATCTATTTGTATTTTTATTAGCATTATGATGGAGCCATGGCCCCTGATGAGTTTAGACAATATTGTAATTGATTCACTTTAACCAAATTAGTGCAAATATATGTATATCTAAAATAAGTCGTTACTGAAAATGAATCTGTCTTGCAGGTTAAATGAAGTAAAGCAAATACGAATGAAGGTTGAAAATCAGATTAAGATGGCAAAGATGATCATGATGAATGAATTAAATAAGCGAGTGAATGTTCTCATGGACCAGCTGGAGGTGAGGCTTTCTGATGGACCAAACCTACTTTAACTTTACAACTGTTTCGAGAAACCCAATTTCTGCTTAAGTAGAAGGCTGCAGTCATTGATATTTGCTGGGTTTCAATCTACTTTAAAAGAATTTCAAGAGACGTTCTGATGGTATTGTGTTTTCACACCAATTACTAGTCATCAGTAGCTAGGTAATATAACGCTATACAGTGAATGTCAAAAAATGTTTTTGTTTCTTGTTCTAGTTTCACGTATGGTTGCTTTTGTTAGAAGCAATTTTCAATATGTATGTCAAGTGCATATTCATCACAGCTGAATGGATCACTTGCCTTCAATATGACTTGCTGCCACAGTTTAAATCAGCTTTTCTATTACCTTAAAACGATTGACAAAATGATGCCAGTTGTCTCCCTGAGGAGTTAAAGTTTTTTTTTGTGTATTGTTCTTTAATTCTCACGGGAGCAGATGATTTCTTAACCAGATTAGTAACTAGGTGGGCAACCTGCTTCAACACATTGGGCAATATTTCTTTTAAATATGTACAAAGCAGGTATTCATGATTGGCTGTGGGATAACTTTATAATTCTGAAATTTCATCTCTTGGGGACACAGGATTTTTTGCCTTATATCTGTACTGACAGCATAGTTAAGTTTATATTATAGGCATTTAGAATATTGCAAGCTTGAAGTCTGTTGGTGCATCAAAGAGATGCAGCGCCTTTGCTGCAGTATTTCATTGCCGGTTCCAATTCTAATTCGAATAAAAATGTTATGATGTGAGAAGATTAATTTTACAATTAAAACTTGAGAGAAATAATTTCTCCTTATTTCTCCAATAGAAAATTCTTGAATGGGCTGTAGGTGACGTGGAAACAGAATGCCATTGATGGGCTAAAATTTAACTCTAGGACATGCTTTCACCTTTAAAATGTTTGCTCTGAAGAACAGAATGCGGTACATTATCTAGAACGCTAAAACTACTTTTGGTGATCAATGAGTATAAGAGTTCAGTCATGTTTCATCCCTTTGCAACTATATTGACCAAATAGCTATAATTGAGAAATAAGCTTCAAAATCACAAATCACTCAGGCCCATCCAGCCTTTAATATTTTGTTCAAATGATCACTCCCTTTGGATTGTTGCCTTTGTAGGTGGAGCTTGACATCACAGAATCTTCTGCAAATTCACCAACACCATTCCCCTTTGGTCACGAAGCTGTACAATAATATCCCATTCAACGGATAGGGCCAGGGAGTGGCTATACTCGAAGAACATCGGTTTGCTGTAGGGCTACTTTTCATCATCTCTATTCTATAATTTTTTTTTTCCCAAGTTTCCCACTGAAAATGTGGAATAATAGAAGCTAGCCTTGCATATGTGTTAGCAGCTATCTGTTGGCTGAGAATTTTCACAAGATGAGAAACCAAAGTAATGGAGTCACACTAAAAACTGCCCTTCTTCCTCTGTTTTAGTTCTATCCCATTTAGGAAATGAGTGAAAAATCTATTTTACATAGTATAATAGAAGCTGTTTTTGATTATAATGATGCTACACTCTTTTGATCATAGAATATTACAAATGAACGAAAGCTCAAACTGGAGCACCAACTTCAAGCAGTGATGGGCTTGTGCAAGCACTTAGAGCATGTATTGAACTTCATCAATTGGGCAGTCTCTAAGAAGAATGATATCCCATTCTTATTCAGCAAGGAACTGGTAAGTGTGTGTGGTCAACTCGTGCAACATTGCTGGCAAAGTCAATGTAAAATCTCTATCAAAGAAAAGTGCAAATTGATTATTTTAAATAAAATTGTAAGTACAGTATTTAGCATAACAGATTGAGAGAATATTTTACTGATATGTAACACCCATATATTAATATATTATTTAGATCCTGTTTCAGGTGCGCCGTTTGCTAGAAACACAGTGCAATGTAGATGTGGGTCCCTCCAAGATTCAGTTTCGTTGGGACTCTACCATGTGGACTAAACAGCTTTCTACTTTAGGTAAGATCTTACTACAGTACTAGTCAATGGCGGCTGAATACCTATGTTGTTTCACTGATCTTACTGACCAATTTTCATGATGAGTTGATGGTTCTCAAAGATCCAGGAACCGGTTACAACTTACTCATATTTGCGATGTATAGCACATAGTGGTAAGGATTATCATTGTATTAAAATACATTTCAACACAAATGACTTACTTTCTGTTCATCTTCCAATAATTCATATATTTATAATATAATCTGCAAGCATTAATTTCATGATACTAACTCAGCATTTGCTGAGAACAGATCCAGCTGACCTCAAGTCCAACCCAAATAACAAGATAGAGGAGCTAGAAAAGAAGGGAGCAATCCAGAAACTAACAACAGAAGGAAATCACTAACTAGCAAATTGAAAATAACGTATATCTTAAATTAAAGATGGTTACGGAAATGTTGGAAAAAGAAACTAGACTAAATGGAAACCAGGCAATTTTCCTTGCAAGGACAGAGGAAAGCTGAAATTGCTGTGGATCACCTTGTTAGCCTACAGGTTTCTAAGCGGTCTTAGTTGATCGTCCATGACAAACTGTAGACTATTTGATTAGATTATTAGAATGTGGAAAGATTTTTGCCATGGAAACAAATAGGGTAAATAAAGCTGTCAGTTTGCATTAATGCTTAGGATAAAAATACAACTGGTTATCCTTGCTGCATCAGGATTACTCTGAGTCCTGTCTCACTGGTGTCACACTGCAAGATGACTTCTTCATGGACCTTATATTACCTCAGCACAGGCATTGTCGTCACTAGTTGTTTAATTCTAGTGAAAGCTGCTCGTTGTTGAGTGCCCAAAGTTACTAGAACCCTTTAGCAGTGATCTTGCATAGGGTTCAAAATGAACTTTATTAAAAAGTTTATGAATTTGACAAATCATTGTGCCACTTACACAATATTTGGTTATTGCATCTCTGCCCAAGCTCTCGCTTTGTCAGGATCCAAGTGAAGTCCTTTTACTTTCAGTATATGAGTTTAATGCTTGATTTCAGACAGCCTCAATGGCATCTTTTTCTTGTTCAGCTTCAGTTCATCTGGCAAGCTGTCTCTAGCCATTTTAGTAGATTCTGATCATGATCTACAATGGCTTCTTCTGTTATATCTCCACATACATACACTAAGAGATCATCCACAACTCCTTTCACTTCAGGAAGATTACTGACTATTGCATGCCGTCTGTGTTGATACTCCTCTGGAACCGTGGAAATACCAAATGGCATATGCAACCTTCTGAATCCCCTGAATGGCATCCGGCATGTAGTTAGAAAACTGCTGCTTTCATCCAGCTTCACTTGGCAGTTACCATCCTTTACATTAAGGGTAGTAAAAGACCTTTGCTATGGCAGATTGTGGCAAATTTCTTCAATGGGGTTGGCATGAGGTAGTGAGATCTCTCAAAATTTTACTGAGATCCTTTGCGTCAATGCATATACTCCAATGTTTTTCACTGCTACCGTGCTGCTATTCAGTATGTAAGAGTTGTTAGTTTCTGGATGGCTCCCTTCTTTTCTAGCTCCTGTATCTTGTTATTTGGGTTGGACTTGAGGTCAGCTGGATCTGTTCTCAGCAAATGCTGAGTTAGTATTATGCACTTAAGCACTTTGAGATGGTATTCACTAGGAGCTCATCCATGACCCTTAAAAGACAGTTTAGTATTCAAGGATCTGGTCACCAGACAATGGCTTAGTACCTTTAATAGAAACATTGCAAATCTCTTCTGGGTACACTTAAAGTTACAAGACCAAATTTACTAAAGTTACTACTTTAGACTTGCTTCAGCTGAGATGAATGGACTTTCATTAACATTACTATCTGGAATTCCAGCTGTTCATTCTTCCCATTGCATTGACCTTTCACCTGCATTTGACCTCTTGGGTTCAGCATATCATAAAGCCTCAATCTTACCTTCGAGCACCTCATTTTTGGGTGACGTCTTGAGTGACTTCACATAGATCTGCAGAAATCCTAATGTTACATGAAGCACTGAAGTCCATTAACATTTCAGCTTCACTTGATGCTGTCATTCTGCAATCATCCCTTGAACTGTTTCAAATTATTTATCAGCTTTTGACTTGTTGAATCCAACCTATTGTATGGGTGTGAAATAATTTGTCAGAATTATTGGCTGACATCTCACCAGCAGCCACCTTTTATAGGGCTGCTTTGCTTCTTTCTATCTAAACACTGTGAAAAGTGATTCAGCTTCTTGCAGCCAGAGTATTGCTTTCCCATGCTGGACATACTTCTTATATGATATCTTCCACAAAACTTATATCCTGTCTTCCAATTCCTTCGGCTGACACTTCTGCAAATATTTATTCCATTACGCAAAGATTATTTTCATTCAGCCTAGAAGCTGTCTGAGTATAATGCAAAGTCCCACGTGTTCTCCCATTAATACGCTTCGGCTGATGATTGACAATTTCGGCGCTACGACACTTGTTGATGGCTTTAAGTTTCACCGCTATTGGCAGATATGCTCTTGCAGCAGGATCCTTTTATGCCTAAAACCTTCTATCTCTTTTGAGATCATCTTTCAGTCATCCACACTCTCAGGATTCATTTGAGATGTATAATTGCAGTTATATGCTTATCACTTGTCTCCTTCTCTCTTTGAGCTATGCCGTTTAATAAATGATTTCTGCTGTCTGGCATTGGTATAGGGTTCAAAGTGTATCCTCAACTTTCGTAATTTCTGCTATCTGGCATTTCTGTTCCTCAGTGAGATCTAGAGTGCAACGCAGCTTGTAGTTCTCTTGCTCAAGCATTGATAATGGGGTTATTACTCTAATTTGCTCAGTCTCTTTATTTGATTCTGTCACTATTTCATGTTTCATATTCACGGAGAGTTGAAACATTCTAATTCTGTCTTGTATCACCTTAAATTTCCACTGCAGTGTGGAATGGAACTTTTATAGCTATTTTGACTTATCCACATTATTCACAATTGTGGGATTTTTTTAAAACGACTTATTGCATTCAGTAGTCCATTAACTTTAGAGCATGAACACGGTCCTGCATTATGATTACACTCATCCCCATCTCCACGTTTATGTTTGTGTCTTATTGGCTTTGCTCTCAGCAGAGCCAATCCATTTTCTCCTATTGAAACCTACCATTCACACCTATTTTTTTCTCAATCCCTCCTGTACAACCATTAGATCTCCTTTTGCTCAGAGCAAACTCACCATCTGTTCCACTCACTCCTCCTCCCTCTTTGTGAACAGCATAAGAAAAATTGATTTCCAGCCCTCTTCAGTTCTGAAGGAGTCGTTGGATTTGAAATGTCAACTCTATTTTTCTCTCTTCAAAGATACTGCTAAATTTCTGCAGCAGTCTCTGTTCTATATGGAACTCTAAGAGTCTACTTTGGACTTGTTTGACTTAAAAATGCATGCTAATGAGCCTGAATTCAATTGCTCGTTGCTTGTAAACTTAAGTTGTCAAAGATAAGATGTTTCTTGTTTGCATTTTTCATTTATTGGACCAATGCCTGACATCACTTCATTGTTTGAAAGCAGGTAGTTTTAAATACAATGCTATAAAATTGGAAGGTTTTTTTCCCAACTTTAATCATGTGAATTTATTATCCATAGGTCAAAGACTGCATAATTTGTTAGCATATTTAAAATGGAGTGTTTGTACTCCTTCAGTAATGTAAGTGGCCATAGCCCTTTAATGGGATTATACAGAGTTCAATAATGTGGAAATGTTTTATTGTGAAGCTTAAGATGGTGGAAGTACTACTCAATGTAATATTGAATTAGGTTAATTTAATTCTAATTTCTTGCCTTTGCTGAGTGAACTGCTTTTCTTCAGAGTAGTGGGATGCCACAATTTGCCTCAATGCAATTGACCTTTTCAGGTGAAAAATATGTCATGGATGTCTGTCCTGATTGTAATCCTTTCTGGCAGCTATGCATCTATATGAAAACCTAGGAAATTTGCTGTCCAAACTTGCATATGAGGGATTACCTTTTGCTTAAGATGTTGACAAACTGTTAATGCCCATGACCATGTACTCCAGCAAGAATTCATGGCTCTTTGTAGACAGAAGAAGGTTTTGAAAATCAAGAGACTTGGGTCCTATCTCGTTTTTTAAAATTTTTGTTGTAAAATTTGTGTCTTTTCCCCCTCAGGCCATTTGTCATTTGATTGTGAGAATGCAACTCGCCAGGAATGCCAGGCTTCCTTCCATCAAGGAGCATCACCATTACCTTGTGAAATTGCTAACCATGGACCAAGTTTACAGCCTCCTCTTCTGTGCCAGAAGCCTGGCCAGCAATATTCAGTTTGTAACAGTCATTGTCCAGACATGCATCCACTTCACAAAGAGCACGAGACATTAAACTGTATGCAGCATCATCAAAGTTTGGGCCAAATTTCAGGACATTTACAGCATCAGCTCCCGATGCAGTACAGTAGCATACACCAGAGCCGATCTCAACAGAAATATTTTTCACATCCATTGCCAGTACAGCCAATACCATCTTTGCAACAGTGGCGTGTATCTCAGACTGGAGTGGAGCACAGCCCAGTTTTACTAGGACATCTACAAGCATCACACCTGCAACAGAATTTGCATCCAGCATATACCATGCAGCAACAAAGAAACATAAAACCGATGCATGTGGTGGCCTTGCAGCAACCAAAGCAATTTGTGCATCAGCCACAACCACAGAAACAGCCCTGCCAAATACAGTATTCAAAGCAGTCTAAACAATCAGTGTTGCCACCCTATCCTGTGAAGCAACAACTACAGCTACAAAATATTCAGCTACCACCTATGGGAGAAGCACTGGGCAAATCCCATATGGAGGAAAGAAAGCAACAAAGCACAGCCTCAAAACAAACATGTCAACCAGATCAAATGCCAATGGGCCTCAAGGATCTCTTAGACCACTCACAGCAACGTCACCAGAATGCACAGCATGTCCAGGATATCAATTTGGCACAGAATTCTATTACAAAGCAACATCTTCTAAAGAAACAGGACATGCCAGTGGAACTACAGCATCTTGATCTTCAAAGAGTAGCAGTGAATGATCAGGACCAGCAGACTGGACTGGGCCAGCAAAGTAACAATAACCAGGTAAGACTATAAAATGCTGTGCATTAAGTTAACTTAAGTGGGATGTATGTGATGACAGATCACGAGGCTTATCATCGACGACATGTTAGAACATAACCAGTTTAAAAAAAGATTATGATCTAGCACAGATAAGAGTTTCAATGAAAAGTGTCTCTAAGTGTCAAACCATGATGGAGACAGTGTTCTTAGCTATTACTCTGTTCAGGTCAAACTAGTTGGGATTATGCATACTGAGCTAAACAAATGAGGTCATTTCACCTCCTTGAGGCATTTTTAAGGAAGAATTTTAAAAAAGTGAAATTCTGAATTTAGTTTTCACACCTTTTTACTTAAAAGATGTATGAAATTGGAATAATCAAGAAAAAAAGATATTTGTCTTGAGATCATAGTAACGTGTTGTTGACTGCCTTCGTTTTGGTGCCAATTGTAAGCAGCAAACCATGTTTAACTTCATTCTAGTATTCTCTTTGATTGAAGTGAACAAGCTTTGAATGTGAGTCATCAGCTACTGCAGCATGATGTATTCGTTTTCATTCCCTTGTTTTTGAATATTTTGGTGCCAAATAGTTTAAAGTGGAGAAGGATGACAAAAGCAGTTGAGGCCAGTACTCTTGAGATAGTAAACAAAATATGAAAGTTTAGTTGGAGAAAACAAACAATTAAATTGGCACATAATAAATACATTAATTTGCACGTGTTATGAGAAGGAAGGGGAATATGTGATCAACCTAATCGACAAAGAAGAAACTAGAAACATGGTCATTAATTGAAGGGAGGGGGAGTTGGTTAGTTGAGTTGGCTCGAAGGCTGGTTTACAATGCAGAGTGATTGCATCGGCGTAAGTTCAGTTCCCACACTGGCTGAGGTTATCATGAAGGACTCTCCTTCTCAACCTCTCCCCTCACATGAGGCATGCTTGAAGCAGCCCTGTAGTCTGGTGGAACTATAGTGATTTAACCCTTAACTCTGTTTTTTTGTATTTGTACATGCTTGCTTCCACCCCCACAGACTCTGCCTCTCTTTTACCCATGTGCATATATACAAGTCAAGTCATCATAGTCTTACCAAATCACAGGATGTTCTCTCTTTTGAGAGAGAGAGAGAGAGAGACGACTAGTGGTGATTTAACCTGAGGGCCACCACACCTCGGGTGAGGGGAGAGAGGTTGAGAAGGAGAGTCCTTCGTGGCGACTTCAGCTGTTGGCATCACACTGCTTCACATGCACATGCATCTATCCTGATACCACAAAAATATCTCTTCACATGAATAATATTCTCCAACAGTATTTATTTGAACAGTTCCTTGTGTAGCACTGTATTTTCCATCTCCTGTTGATCCTGCCATCTCTATCCATCCATTTTAGTATCTTTTCTTGTCATATTTTAAGTCAGAACTTCCTTACGTTGAATTTAAGCTATGCATAAACTCCATTGCTCAGGCACAATGGACAAGAAAAATGGAAAGCTTGTGTGGTATGTGAAAAAAGAAAAGAAGTAAGATATAGTAATACCAGTCTGTAGATTGGTATATTTTCGGTATGCTAGTTTCATTTTTCTGTTTTAATCTCTAAAATGTTGCATGGGATGTGGGTGTGATTGGCAAAGCTGGCATTTATTGCCCTTGAACTGGGCAGCTCTAGAAGCTATTTCAGAGGGCAGTAAAGATTTAGCCAGATTGCTACGTGTCTGGAGTCACATGATGGCCAGACTGGGTAAGGGGACAGCAATTCTTATTTCCTAAAAAAAAAATCAATGAATCAGATCCTTTTTTAAAGTGGTAGTGGCTATGTGGTCACCATTAGACTTAACCTGGGCCTAGAAACCCATCTAAATTTTAGTTTGCTTGGGCCTCTCTGTATTTCTGGTCCAGTAACGTTACTACTATGTCACCGTTCCTCTTGGTAAAGTGTAAGTAAACTTTTGGCTTGAAACTGAATTTAATTAACTTAACTTGTTAAGTTATTAAGTTACTTATTAGCTAGCTCTGATAAGGCTGAAAATGGTTTGGAAAGATGGCTTAGAAGTTGACAGAAGGTCACAATAAAGCTTCGAGAATATATGACTAAAACATTCGAAATAGCTGACCAAAGAAAACAATGACCTGTCAAAATTGCCACAGTGATGTTGCAGGAAGGTGCTGTCTATCCTGTAGCCAAGATTAGATGTTACACGAAAGTGTAATTTTGGCAAGCAAAAATAGATGCACCCTATCTTGGGCAGCACAGTGGCTCAGTGGTTAGCACTGCCGCCTTCCAGTGCCTGGGTTCGATTCCAGCCTGGGTTAATGTCTGTGTGGAGTTTGTGCATTCTCCCTGTCTCTGCGTGGGTTTCTGCTACGTGCTGTGGTTTCCTCCCACAGTCCAAAGATGTGCAGATTGGGTGGATTGGCCATGCTAAATTTTCCGTAGCGTCCGGGGGTGAGTAAACTAGATGGATTAACCATGGGAAATGTATGGTTGCCTGGATACGGTAGTGGGGTGAGTGTGGGTGGGATGCTCTTCAGAGAGTCAGTGTGAACTTGTCGGGCTGATTGGCCTGTTTCCACACTACAGGGATTCTATGATTCTAAGTTTCATATTTACATAATTAGACTATTATTCTCCAATGTAATTCACAGTCGACATTTATGACATTTGCACATTCTTACATTTGTTTAAATCCAACTCAGGTAACTGAGGAAAACATTTTTCTTTTGCTGGTGAAGTTCCTGTTGGACTGGTCCAGAGTATGAGACTAGTCAATTTTGCATTTAATTAGCAATCTTCTTAATGGGCCAGCACCTCTTAATGGTACTCATCTGAAGTTGATGCTTAAAGCATAATGACTCAGAAGACATTAAATTAAGCTGGTATGCTACAGGGAAAGCAATAGCTAATGCATTCTCTTCCCACAATGACTCTTTTATGTTTAAATTTCTGGTCATTCATTTAGCGAGAGGATGAGGAATCACAATCTCGCAAAACTTGAATCTTGCTGAATGTGGAAGTGTTAATAGGTCTTAATGGGATTAGTTAAAAATTTAAATCAAATAAATGATAGAGTATTTATCTACTTTTTTTTTGAACTGTATATTTTATGTATTCCAAATGACAGCATTGATGTTGAACCCTTGAAGTGCATGGATAACACAGAAGTAGTTGACCTTTAATATGTTTAAGTTTTTTGATGTGTTTCTGTGTTTTCCATATATGTTTCTTTAGTTCAGTTATTCTGTTTGTTGCTTTGTCCATTTTCCCAAAATGCCAAAATGTGGAAGAGCAATACAGTAGACTGGTCAAATGATCAAAAGTAGTTTGATGAGTAAACAGTACCACGCTCGATAGCGCCATTATGTACAGAATTTTCTTGAATCAGCATTTGTGCGTGCAGGGTGTACAAGCAGATGTTACCTCAGGCCTTATCAGAAAATCCAGTCACACTTGGATATTTTGTGAATTGTTTGGGAGATGGGTGATTCACATTCATCTAAGTTGATTGTCGCTGGTGGGTACTTCTAGTCAGGGCTGATTCCATTCTAATGGCTTTTGAATTTGAAGGATGCGGCTATGCAAGCATTTGGCCATCTCAGAAGCTGCTGTTTTAAGTCGTTTAAAATGCTGTCCAGTCTTTTTCCTTATTCGATGGTTGTTATTTTAAATATAAAATGAAGTCTTTTAGCTCAATGTTTTAACACCCATTTTGATGTATGTCACCGTGGAACTTTGGATTGGGAGATGGAATAGAAAGATTGGCGGAGGTGCACATGTGAAAGCAGAGCCATTGAGTCTGGCATTCTCTTATGTCAGCATTTGGACATGAGGTTTGAAGTAACAGCATTTTTTAGAGAGTACCATCGCACTGCTTTGCTGTGAGGTACATGAATGGAAGTTGATCACCCCTTGCTCTTCTCTATGGCACGTCTGGCAGCAAAGAACAAAGACGGGAAATGCTTGGCTTGGAAGCACCTTGATGAATAAACATTTGATCAATCAAGAATGTTTCTGTGATAATTCACTCATAAATGCATGTAGCATTGTGTACTGTAAAGCACTTTTAAAAATTTGTTTATGGAATGAGGGCATCATTTATTGCCCATCTTAATTGCCCAGACAGCAGTAAAATGTCAGCCACATTGTGGATGCGGAGTCACAGTTAGCCTGACAACTTAAGGGTGGCAGATTTCCATCCCTAAAAGGCATTACTGAACATTTGGATTTTTACAACATATGACAATGGTTATACAATCACCGTTAGGCCAGCTTCTTCTGAATTCACATTTCGCCATCTGCCATGGTAGGATTCAAACCCGTAACCCCAGAACATTAAACTAGGGTTTTGGGTTACTAGTCTACTAGCACAACACCATCCGATTTCCTGTGAATGTCCATCTATAGAAAAAGAGATTGAAGAATGCAGTGAAAAAGCAGATTTGTGGAATTGAACTTTTACAACAATGACTTTTTGAGTACTTATGTTTACAGCTCTCAAAATTATTTTTAAAATAATTTTTGCCATTTATTTCCTTAGTTGCACAATCGCCTTGATGCTGAAGAACAGCAAATTGTAAATTCTCACAGAACAAGCACAATTACCCTCCAACCAGTAGATTTAGTGGGAATAAGCAACACAGTTGGAAAGCAATCAACTACTTCAAGATCGACAACCACAAAGAAGTCTTCAACTACTGTGAGAAAAAGGGGAAAGGTAGTATTAGAAATATAACTTGCTAAATTGTGATGTTTCTATTCATGAATTGTCAAAACTATAGCACTGATATTAACTCTGTGACTGTGCCTTTTAGAAGCTGAGATGTGGGTAAGTAACAGCACTCCGACTGGTAATGGCACTGGCTTGTTACTCAAGCAGCTTTAACTTCTGGACAAACAGGAGGCCAGAAGAACACAGCAAGCCAGGCAGCATCTGGAGGAATCGAGAAGTCAATGTTTCGGGTATTACCCTTCTTCAGGACGGGAACAGAAGGGTAACACCCGAAACATTGTCTTCTCCTTTCCCCCAGATGCTGCCTGGCCTGCTGTGTTCTTCCGGCCTCCTGTTTGTCTACCTTGAATTCCAGCATCTGTCGTCTTTTTTTTTGTCTTTTACTTCCAGATAATTGCCATATTTTCAGAATGCATTTTGCTTGAACTTGACAGGAATATCAAGGAGCAGTGAGCATGACATGGTGCAAAGGCTCACAGAACCAGACATTTAGGGTCAGTGGAAAAGTTTTTAAGGATTCCTTGCAGAGTCCCGATGTGCTCTGCTTGTCCTTATCCACAAACTAAAACTACCTGGGTCTCTTCTGGTCGCAATACTGCCCCTGACTAGTTTCCCTGCCAGATCTAACACAAAGTCCCAGCTATAATCAAAAAAAATTGTCTTGTCCTCCAAAGACCTGGCAATCAAAAATGCTGTGATTGCAAATGCATTGGAAGGCACTAAAAAGCGTCTTAACAATAACTTTAATATTCTTCACCACCACCCATTTCTTCAACTTGCCCCTCTCCTCCGTTGGCCAGAAATGTTACCAGTGGGAGGGAATGTTTGGATTGTGATGTAATTGTCACGGCTGTTTTTGCTGAGTGAGGACATTTACACGTGTGTGATAGACTTTACTCCTAAGATTTGTATCTTGTAGATATACTCAGTGGGCAAGCAAATACACCTGTTGCTCTCTCCGCGACTCCCTCGTCTGCTCCACACTCCCCACTAGCCCCACCACCCTCAGCAGTTTTCCCTGCAACCACAGGAGGTGCTACAACTGCCCCTACACCTCCCCCCTCACCCCCATCCCAGGCCCCAAGAAGACGTTCCACATCAAGCAGATGTTCACCTGCACATCTACTAATGTGGTATACCGTATCCGCTGTTCCCGGTGTGGCCTCCTCTACATCGGGGAAATCAAGCGGAGGCTTGGAGACCATTTTGTGGAGCACCTGTGCTCGGTTCGTGACAAACGACAACACCTCCCAGTCGCGAACCACTTCAACTTCCCCTTCCACTCCCTGGACGACATGTGCATCCTGGGCCTTCTCCAGTGTCACAACAATGCCACCGAAAACTGGAGGAACAGCACCTCATATTCCGCTTGGGAACCCTGCAGCCCAATGGCCTCAATGTGGACTTCACAAGTTTAAAATCTCCCCACCCCCAACCTCATCCCAAGACCAGCCCATCTCATTCCCGCCTCCTTGACCTGTCCGTCTTCTCTCCACCTATCTGCTCCTTTATCCACCTTCTATCATCGCCTCCCCCTCTCTCTATTTATTTCAGAGCGCGCACCCCCCCCAACCCCACCATTTCTGAAGAAGGGTCCAGACCTGAAACGCCAGCTTTCCTGCTCCTCTGATGCTGCCTGGCCTGCTGTATTCATTCAGCTCTACACCTTGTTATATCATCTGTTGTTCAGCTGTTTTGCCTTCAGGAACACCAACTCAGTGAACCACAGATGACAGCAGAAAAGAACAGCTTTTTCATGAAAAGGAGAACTGCAGAACCATGACAATTGCAGAAATGTCTCTTTGTAACACAAAATTAATGCTTATATGGGATGATTAAGGTTGTTCTAAGTATTGCAGCTATTTACTTTCTATGTCAAATTTAGTCTCTTGCTTTCAGTTACATCTGCAGTTGTGTTTCCTCTTCTTCAAAAACAGACAGCTTGCATTACAAACAGAGTATATGTAATCTGTATAGTAACAACACTTAAAGCTGAACTCCACGTACTTTACTTGATCCAAATATCTAAAATGAGAATTGAATAAATTATTTGAAAGCACACTTTTATTTCCTTTGAGTTTTTTTATTTATCAAGAACTATTTGTCAAACCAATAGCTCAAAATATCAATTGAACTGCTTCATGATACAAGCATCTATTGAAGGATTTTTCAATGAACTGATGAATTTTTAAGAATGATAGAAAATAGTTGAGTGGCATGCCATTTTTGGATGGTTTTGCATCATGATTTGACTGAAAGAAGACAAAAACAAACAACTCCCCATGCTAGTCACCTGAGAATGAGGCTATTGGAAACACATAGCATGCCAATTAACAACTATGGGGAGAATGGAGAAATTAGCATTTCAGGAATGGAACCTTCCATCAGATCTGGACATTATTAAAATGGTGTACTATGCTTGACATTTAATGAGATCAAACACCGATTAGGTGATCAATTTATGAAACACTTACATCATGTCCTCAAGTGGTAACCTGAGCTCTGATATTTGTCAGTTCAGTTCCTGACAATATCATCTTACATTTAGCATTGCCTTTTAATGTAGGGAAACATCCCAAGGCACTTCACAGAAATGTAATTAGACAAAGATGGACACTGAGGCAATTTGACAGGTGTCAAAAATCTTGCTTGTATGTGATAAGATTTAAGGAGGGTCTTAAAGGAGAAAATAGAGGGAAATACTGAGCAAATGAGGTGATTAAACCAGCAATGTTGAGGGAGTTGTGGATTCACAAGAGGTTAGAGCTTGAGGAATGGAAATTTCTTGCAGATTTGCAGGGTGACAGAAGGTTTTGCTTTAAGGGAGGGTCAAAGAATTGAGTTAATATTTAAGTGTTAGTTGAATGGGAGCCAATGCATATTGATGAGCACAGGGATGAAGAATGAGCTATACTTGATGTGATTTAGAAAACAGACAGCAGAGCATTGGATGTATAGAGGGTGTAAGGTAGGAATCTGCTTTAGGAGTGCATTTAATTATTTGATTCTGAAAAAAATAAATTATTTCAATGAAAGATAGGTTATTGTGCTATGCCTTTACTACACTAACTAAGGTAGTCATTTAATTGGATCAAACATCTGTTGTTTTCTAATTGATATGTATAAATATACAATTCACTATACTTTATCCATTACCTAATAAAAGAATTCATTTTCTTAAATGAAATTCAGTCGTATCATTGGAGCAATTGCCACACAGTTCTTTCTTGCTACATATAATATGTTTAGATATTACCAAAAATTATAAAGAATTGTTTATCAAGGAGTGGAGAAACCCCAAAGGGAGTTGTTGTTGACCTGTTTTCTTTTGTTAGGGGAATTGTCTAGCTTCTGTTAAGCACAGTTGACCAAAATCAAACCTTATTGTTAAGAGACAGCTGTTGCAATTTCCTTAATAAAGGAATGTAAAATTGTGAAAAGCAGAATGTTATTCTGCATTTGGAAGAGAAAGATCATAGTTCTGAGGAGGAAGAACTGCACTCTATCAAAAGTTATATATTTTACTTTCAGAAACTGACTGACGGTTGCAAGTCAGGCATCCTCCTCTTTTCACTTTCTTATTTCAGTGTTTCTTTTAAACATAACAAAGAAAATTCAATTGAAATTCTGTAATGGTCTGGTATATTTAGTGTTAATGTTTGCTTTTGTTTTTTAGTTTAATTAAATTAAGATGCTTAACTAGTTTGGTGATTCAGTGTCCAAACTTAATGAGTCATTGTTAATTAGGAACCCTGCGATGGGGAGATTCTTCCAGCGTTTTCAGAAGGGGAGAGAGTGGTCTTTTGCCCGTTCAGAAAATATATATATATATTGAAATGTTGTTATTTGTAGGGAGGGGCCGAGATTTTGTCTGGCTATAATGTGCTATGAGACTATTTCTTAATGCTTTTCATGTTTGTTTGGAGCAGTCCTGAAGAAACCAGACACACACTGTTCTACTTTTTAATGTTTTTAAAAATTGTAAATACTCTTTTTTTGAGTCTTTTGGCTAACCATTTGAATATTAGTAATTCATTGATAGGTATCTCCAAGACATTCACCATTCTGACTTGGAAATATGTCACTGAAAGTACTTTCACAAAGCTGTGTTTGCACCACATCTCGGAAATTACAATAAGTTTCAAACATCCCTATATGTGCTAATGTAAAATGTCATCCTTCCCTCATATTGCTGCTTTTAAAAGGCACCTTATGTTATATGTTTTTGGAGATTGTTTTCCCAAAATTCAGGATTACAGATAAAAAGAGCCAGACTCGAAAGCTGAAATCATGAGCTGACAATTTTGGGGCAGAAAAATAAACAACCATTAATAATCGCATGCAATGTGATTTAAATGGCCATCAACACATACAATCTTAAAATTCCAGAATAGAAATCTTTTAGTTTTGAAGAACACAATAAGATTTTCCTTTCAATCTTTCTAACTTCTATCCTTTTCTCCTCTTGCCTACCTCTTCCTCCAAAAAATTATGACCTGTGCATGGACCAAGAGTATAGCTTTCACATCCATGCAAGCACTAAACCAGGGAGGTTCAATCCTTTTATTTCATCTAATTGCACTTAATAGAACGATATTGAGTTCTTGGAAACCAAATTGTTGTGTTACTAGAGATATTTCTGGTCCTGCTCCTCAATTGGATATCTATATACAATCAAAATTGTCATTTTAATCCACCTTTTGGATATGTTACGACACATCTTCAGGACCGATAGGGCATTACCACTTCACCACAAGTGCCCTCTTTAAAAAAAAACGCTTCTTCATCCAAAGCCAATCTATCCTCATAGTCCGGCATATTTCCCATTCTGCCATGGAATTCAAGCCTGATTCATGAAGCATACAGAGGGGATCCCAGGAGCATGTTATAAGTCATGTAACCATAGCTTACATTAAAAAAAACTAAAAACCTGCTTTCATTTGCATTCTTCTTGCTTTAGTTGCATATTAATGAAGCTGATATTAACATAAAATCCTGTTTTAATTTGACCTTCACCCGGTGGCACTGAGGTGCACTTTTAGTTCACCACCATCTCTCTCTCAAACTCTCCACTGTCACCTGACTTATCAAATACCCAGTGCTGCAGCAGAAATATTCACCAATTAACTGTTGAAAACTCTTGACCCCAAATGAACTTTCAACAACATATCTTAATCTTTACCAACACCTATTTCCACCTCTGTAACGTTGTCTAACCCTGCCTTGCCTTAGCCATTCTGCTCAAACATCTTTTGTAATCTTGGCTATTCCTGTGTGTCTCTGCCACTGTCCCACATTCTCTATAAGCCTGAGGTCATCCAAAACTTTGCTGCTCATGTTTTACCTTGTACTATATCTCATTCATCCATCAGTCCAATGCTTATTAATCTACACTGGCTCCTGTTTAAACAGTGCTTTGCATTAAAATTCAAAGCTGTCCGTGGTCTGGACCCTGTAGGAATATTGTTAGCAGCTTTTATTGGTTAGTCCGAACTGTTAACAATTATTGCCTGTAAACGATATATATGAGCATGGTGGGGCCTGGCTTCACTAGTGCTGCCTTCTACTTGATCTCACTGCCATCTGACCCGACATCATGATGTCATGGAAGCTTATGTGCGTGCTCAGTAGTTCTTGTCAGAGTAATGGTGTAGTCAACCCACTATTCCATGGATCCTTCCCATCTCTGCAATCTTCTCCAGCTCTGCAATCTTCCAAGGAATTTCCTTTCTTCTAATTCCAGCCTATTGAGCATCCCTGAATTTACTTTCTCCATTATTAGTGGCCATACCTAAGACCTAAGCTCTCAAATTCCGTCTCTAAATGTGTCTGTCTCTTGATGTCTCTTTCCTCCTTTCACAAATTCCTTCAAGCCTCCCCAGTCCTTGCTCTTTAGCCAAGATTTTGATCATACAATCTGACAACTTACGTCGCTCACTCTTCGATGCTTTTTAAAATTTTAAAATCAACCTACTCAGATATTATGACACCCCTCTGGAGCAGGTGTGACTTGAATCGAAGCCTCCTGGATCAGAGGTAGGGAGGCTACCATTGTGCCACAAGAGCCCTCTAAATGTTATATAAAACCCCTGTAAAGTGCCCTTGTTTTGTATTATGAAAGGTGCTATATAAATAGGAGTAGTTGTTGTGGAAGTAAAATACTTTTGTTGTGGTTTATCTGTTGCAGCGCTCTGCTTCAGGCCAAATAAAATGCAGGCTGCCATTGGGTGAAGATTCTTCACACCTTGCACCTTCATTAATTGAACTGCAATCCCAGTTAACTGTGCACAGATCTGATGGTGGCAATCAGGATCTTCTGGTAAAGAATGTAATCGTAAATGGGGAACCAAAGAGCACTGAGAAGAATAAGGTTAGTTTTTTTTTTATTAACTGAAGCATGGCAATTTGCTGCATGTTTGTATTGAGGGATTCTATGAATATGTGGAAATATTGGATTTGCCAGAAAAGAAAGACCAAGTTCAATCTGGTTCACCTTCTGTCATCTTGTTAATCACATAATATAAAAATTAAGGAAAATCCAATGGTGGAGAGTTTTGGGCAACCTGGTCCAATACTCCAGGTGCACCATTTTTGGCAGCTTGGTGCATGATGTTCATTCCTTATGAATGAAGCCACAGATACCCCAAATGTTTTGACAAGAGCTTCACTCCACAATGATAGGCTGACAGCAGTGGCTTTGGTCATTTTAAAGTTTAGAAGTCTTCATTGGGAGCCTCTGTTTTCTCACGGTTCTCCACATACATTGCCACCATTCGCCATTCCTAATGGAGCTACCAGCTCTCACATCCTTAGGTGTGAAATAGCCTTCCAGCCTGTGCAGCCTGCCCACTGTTCTCTAATTTGTTAGGGCTCCTGGAACTAACCTCTTAATTCAGCCACCTCTAGAAAAGTCACGGAAGTTGGCAGGATTCTGATACCATCATGGTTAGGACCCACGTGAGCCCCACACCTGCTTAGAAATTCAGGCAACTGGTTTCAGCACAGAAATAATTTTTAATTCCTTATGTCCCATAAGAGAATTAAAGAAAATAAACTAATGTACATTGTGGTTTTGTTTTTATTTCAGTTATATCATTAGAACATTTCTACATATTGTGAAGCATTTCAGACAGTGAGAATTCAAAAGTGTAAGCTTGAGTGCTTTCAATAACAGTATATTATAATCAATGGTTGAACAACTAACCTCTTTCCATTTTTGTTGTCTCTTTTAGTCTGAAGAAAGTAGTACTAAATTACCTAAGGAATCCATGAAAATTAAATCAGTGTCTTTAGAAGATGTTAATTTCAAAGAACCGATTAATCTTTCCGTGAATGTTGGATGTAAGTTGTCTTCCCTATCTTTGCTATTAACTAGCATTACCCCTCCACCAGTGTTTGAGAAATGAGATAACATTATGAAATTTGTGAGGACGTGGTATTTCAGAATATCACGTTACACAACCAAATGAGATGCCTAGTGCATTTCCCAGGGTAAAATAAGACACAGATATCAAAATTGCAATAGTTTATCAAGTACAATTTCACGTGTTCGGTTTCTTTTCTCCTTCCTTCCTGAAGGTAGTGCCTTGCTTTAGAGTTCAATCCAATGGATGCCATTAATGCTTTCACTTTGCCACTATATTTACAGTGTTTGTTGGCAAGCTTTTCATTTCATAGGCAATATGGCCAAGTTTGATTATGTTAATATTTGGTGTTCACATGCATGGCTTTCCAAAGGGAAAAAACATTGAATAGTGACCAGAAATGGGATCTTCAGGTAACATTGCTCTTCACTCTCCGTCCCTCCTCTCTCTGGCTAGTACCAAAATTAGTGACCTAACTAGGTTCTGTTACAAATAAAATTCGAGAATCTCCTGGTCTGTACAGCTTCATGCCACATTAGACGAGGCAACAATAAACTAATGCACTTGGAGAATCTCTCATTTACACCCCAAACCATACTGAAAAAGACACCATAATTGCCAGGAGAAATGGAAACAATTTTTAAATAGTAGCAAAACCAACCCTGACTATTTATTTTAGTTTAATCAGGGCTTGTGGTTATGTAACAAAACAGAGTGCATTGACAATATTCTGCATGGTAGACTAATTCATGAAGTTAGAGCACATCACACCCCTTACAGATGCATAGAGCGCTCAGTCTTGGCAGATGTTTTTGCAAATAGCTATATGGTAGTACTTTAGTAATAATGCTGTTGCTGTTTACTAGGTCCTGTAGTTAATGGATCTCGTGACTCAAAAATGGATTCACTGGATGGAGCACCACATGACATGGGAAGCACCAGGTAAAAAGTAATAGATGAAAAGAAAGTAAATAAAATGTAGTTAATATACAAAACAGTTACACAGGGGCAAGTGAGTTGAAGACAGAAAACACAAGATGAGGAAAGAGAATAGAGATTAAAGACAATCATCCAGAAGTCTGATGACAGAATGCTATAAATACAGAGAGCGAAAGATTCAGTTAGATGGGAAAAAGAGAGACAGTTGGACAAGATAAAATGCAAATATGAATCTGCAGGTAGGAAAAGTAATGAATAATTTGCAATCAGTCAAGAAAAAGGCAGTGCATAAGAAATGGAAGGCGGGAGACAATGAGATGGTAGAAGAGATGTGACTAAGGGTGCAATAATCTTCTGAGGGGGATGAGACAAAAACGTTTGGATAAAGAGAAAGAGTTTCTTTTTCTTCCACTCTTTCCTTTATATTGTATCACGTTTTCTTGACTTTTTTTTTACTTTTTAACTCAGAGGGAAACAGAATGTTGGTCCTCCTCGTACATGTAGAATTCTTCTTTGAATTTTTCCAGAATTCATGAATAGAATCTGGGGACAAATTACAGATGTGTTGTTTAGAGGATGTGGATTTGCAGCTAAGTGGTTTATTTGAGAGATTTACCAGAAAGATGCAGATGCTCGAGATTGTTGGACTGCATCTTATTCATGCAAAAGCAAGTAGCCTATCCAATAAAGCAGAAATCTATCCATCTGAATGTTTTATGTATGCAAATAGTACCAACAATCTCATTCATCTGAGCACCATTTTTAATGTGGTTCCTTTTTAAGGTGTTGAATGCAGTAACAATAAGGAGAAATGTTTTTTTCTTGATGTGCTACTGGTAAATTGGTAGAGAAGAGATTGGAAATAAGTCATGAAGTGTTTCAGTTATACAGGGCAATTACATTTAAGTTTTATATAGGGCACTGGTAAATTGACATTAGTAAGCATATTGAATACTTTGTGCCATTTTGACCTCCTACTTAAGTACGGATATAAATAGATTGGAAACAGCTTAAAGGAGGATTACTAGATGATGCCTGAATTGAGCAGGTTGTCTCATGAGGATAGATTGGACAGGCTGGACTTGCATCCACTGGAGTTTAGAAGTGTGAGTGGTGACTTAATTGAAGCATATAAGATCCTGAATAGTCTTGGCAAAGTGGACATGGGGAGAATGTTTTGTTGTGTGAGTCAGTCCAGAACTAATTGCCACTCTTTTAAGATTAGGGATCAGCCTTTCAGGATAGAAATGAATAGAATTTTATTCTATCAGAGAGTTGAGACACTTTGGAACTCTATGCCTCAGAAGGCAATAGAGACAGGCTGAATGACCATTTTTAAGACAGAGGTGGATAGATTGTTGTTAGGCAAGGAAATCAAAGGTTTTGAGGGTAAATGACAATGTGACACTTGAAACACAAACAGATCAGCGATGAACTTTTTGAATAGCAGACTGCGTTTGAGGGGCTGAATGGCCTGCTTTTCCTATTTTTTTATGTTCATATGTTGTAATGGGAAAGGTGAGCATTTTATGGTGTGAATTACAAAATTGGTGTGTGTGTGTTGAAGCAGAAAAATGAGGTATTTGAATTATTAACAACCCAATTCTACCTCAGAAATCAAAAACTGAGATGTTGGCCTGTATTGATTCCATTGCTTGATGGGTGTGAAAGAGTCTGAGGTTAAAGACTAAAACAAACTGAATAGATTCTTAACCCATATTATTAGTATGGAGTATCGGAATATCTTGGTGTCCTGTGTGGTGATGTGCAAATGGGAGCTTAGTTTGAAGTTGACTGCTGCTGAATTACGAAGTGCCGCAATTGCTGAATCTTTGTGCTGCTCTAGCATTAGCACCTCGAACATTCCCTCCCAAATGTTCTCTTAACGTTGCTGCATTTGCAAATTATTTGCACATCGTGAACAACAGAAAGTTAAGCCGAGTAATTAACAGTCCAAGTAGCCTTTTAAAGACATGATAATTGTTAATGGCTGCTAATTATTGAATTTTTGGAAAAGAATGACAATTTTATGTGCAGAATTTCATATGTGCAGAATTTCATATTTCAGTTTAAGGACTGTTTTAGGAGATATAAAAATTGTAAATGCTAACTCTATTTTTATTATTACTTTTATTTTTGCTTTGCTATTTTTCTCTGTTCAGATTTTTTTTTTTCCCTCTCTTTATTTCTCTTTTACATGATTTATTCCTTAATCGGCCTCCTCTCTCAGTCCTTCCTTGTTTCTTGTTTATTTTTCAATCCTTCAATTTTATTCACTGTGTTCATCAAAATTCCATAAATCCTGTTGTGTTCACTGAGTTGATCTTATTTTGAGAAAATTTGTGTACAAAAAAAGCAAAAAGCAAAATATGAATGAAGAACTCTAATTAGTAGGGCGTTAATGTGTTCTGTAAGATGCCAATACAACCTGAGCCAGGAAGACAGTTGTTAGGGCATTTCAAAATTATGTCCAACAGTAGAAAAGTGAGAGAGTAAACCCAGGAAACTGAAGACTTTGCAAGTCTGACATCTGATGAAATTAATAATTAATGAGACAGTAACTGAGCACTTAGAGAAATTTGAGCTAATTAGAGACAACCAACATGGATTTGTGAAGGCAAGGTCATATTGAATTAATTTAATTAATTTTTTTGAGTAACAAGTAAAACATTGGAAATGTCTATTGAAAATAGCTTTGTACAGTATGGGGGTCAATGACACTTGCAGCATTTATTGTACATCCATAATTGTCAGGCAAAAGTGATGTTGAACTGCCTTTTTAACTGCTGTAGTTCATGTGCTGTAGGTACATTGCAATATTGTTTAATTCAACAATGATGAAAACAGTGATATGTATATTTTTAAGTCAGAATGATGTGTGATTGGAGGATAACTTGCAGGTATTTCTGCCATTGGCCTTTTACAAGTTGAAAGTTTAGAAAATGTTGTTGAAGATGCATAGATGAGTTTTGCAGTACATGTCAGTAGTGGAGGATAATGAATATTTAAGTTGGTGAATAGAATGCTCATAAAGCCACTTGCAATTTCTACCTTTTGCCATTGAATGATCGAACAGATTCTTCTACAAATACATTTTTAACATTTGTTTTCATGAAGCAAAGATAAATAACTGCTGCTAGTCCATATGTGTCCAATGTTATGAACCAGCACCATCTCTGCAATTCATTTGTTAACCACTAAGATCTGACTGTGACCTATCTTTGGATTAGATCCGTTTGATAGCCTATCCTCTCCATATGACAAGCTGCCTTGAAGTTCACTTGCTACATGCAACTGAGGCCAGTGCCACAAAAAATTGGAGCCTCAAGAATGGTAGAAGCAGGTGTTGGGAGGAAGCATGCTCTTGAACTGAAAATTGTGCTCGTGTGTTTTGGTAGCCTGTAAAATTGTATTCCTAAACTGTGACTATTGTTTAAGAGATTTAATCTGATGGCCACAGGACTCAGATTGATGGAGTGAAGGTCCCTTATGTGCGGTTAGAGAGATTACCAATCTGTGCACCATCTACTGGCCAACTCCCTGTCTACAAACTGCAATCGGATGTTGATGAACGTGAAGGCAGCGTCCTATTTATGGACAACCAAACCGCTCATACTGCAACAAAGGTGAGCAGAAAAATACCTTGTTTAAAAAGAATTGCATTTATATGGTGTCTGTCATGATAACTCAAAGTGCTTTACAGCCAAATAAATACTTCTTGAAGTATGATCACTGTTGCAGTGCAAGAAGTAGGACAAGCAATTTGTATGCACCAAGGTCGACAGATAGTAATAAGATAATGACCGGATAAACTTTTTTTTAATGTTGATTGAAAGGTTATTATTGGCTAGGAAACAGTATAGCTCCTGTAACAAATATAGAGAATGCTTGAGAAACTCAGCAGGTCTGGCAGCATCTATGGAGAGAGAAGCAGAGTTAACATTTCAAGTCCAGTATGACTCTTCTTCAGAACTGAAGAATAACTCCTCTATTCTTCAATATATTAAGATCCTTTACTTGCACCTGAATGAGCGAATGAGGCTTTGGTTCAATGTCGGACATAAAGGCTGCCACCTATGACTGTGTTCCTCAGGACTACACTGGAATTTTAGTCCAGATTGTTGCACTCAGGTCCTGAATTGGGACTTGAACCCACAACTCAGGGTGTGAGGAGGATCAAGTGAGCCAAAGCATGTGATGAAAAGGAAAATAAATGGACAAAACCTTGCAATATAATAAAAATGTCAGATTTAAAAAACAATAGCCGACATTAAAAATGTTTCTAAACCTATTTCGCCCTTCAATTGAAAAAGACATGGTTTCAAACCTATTGTGAGAAAGGTGAAAGTTGAACTTCTATCAACAACCCTGTCATTGAAGTTTTATTATTTCCTTCCTTGATAGATGAAGTTATTTTAATATTTCCAGTTATGTAATGATTAATAGATGAAAATTCTGCTGATGCCACAGATCCAATGCTAGGGAAGAGATAAGTTACTGTTGTAAATTTGGGCCTGGTGTGGACTGTTTTAGTTCCTGTCATATAAGGTCATATCTTCTTTCTTTCATGACAGAACTCATGTTATCTTATGTCTACTTGCTTAATAACATAAGCAAGGCTGTAACATTAGTAGCCCAGGGGGAGCTCATTCAGATATATGCAATGTCTCGCATGCATTTCTTCAGTCCTTAGAAGGCAAACTGAGTTGATCTTTAATGAGATAACCGTTAGACTATTCTGGTAGTAAACATGGCCACCACGGTCTGCAAAGTCTGTTTAATTTTATGCTGCAGTTGAAATGATGGCATGTTACAGACACTCACTTTTGTTAATTCATGAAAATATTGCTGCATGTTAATTTTATTACTTTTTTTTAACAGAACATTACACTGGACAGCACACTCACTCCTCCGAACTCGAACCCCCCTCCCCCCCAACAAAGTGAGCTGGATGACACACTGGTTACTTCTGACTTGTCTCCTGAAGTTGTTGCATCCTCCTGTCCTTTGGATGACAAACCATCTGAAAAATCTGTTAAAGAGCTATCACCTCAGACAACCCCAGTAGTAGCAGGTGCTACAGACAACAATGAAGATTATTGCGCAGTTTGCTTGAATGGTGGAGAGCTGTTGTGCTGTGATCGATGTCCAAAAGTTTTCCATCTTGGTTGCCATGTGCCTTCTCTGCTCAGCTTCCCAACGTAAATCTAGCTTTTAATTACTGCATTCCTTTTAGGCTGTTAGTGCATGTCATATAGTATTGTGATGCTGAGATGACAATTTTTAAAATATTTAAGCCAAGGATTCAAAATATACAGTAGGACAGTTACCAAAATATTGGTCATATGTTTAAATACCTAGCACCCTAAAACACGTATTCTAGAATGATGAAGAGAGTCAGAGTTGAAAGGAAAGAGCCACATTTAATTTTGTATTTAGTTAGAACAAACAAGCTTGAAATATGTTTTGAAAAGGGGTCACTAGACTCAAAATGATAACTCTGTTTTCTCTGCACAGATGCTGCCAGACCTGCTGAGTTTCTCCAGTAGTTCATTTTTGTGTGTTTCAGATCTCCAGTATTGGCCGTTTTTTCTTTTATTGCAATATGTTTGCCACTGTCAGCGTTCAAATCCTGTTTCCCAATCCTGGAGTGGAAGATCAGCTCTTCGCCTGGATCTGGTGATTTATCTACTTTCAAAGATGCTGACCCCTTTTTTCATATCTCAATATGTTTATTCAGTTCACAATTTCACACTCTTCTCCTTAACTACCATGTCTTTATCCCCTCCTTTCTGAAGCCAGATGCAAATTACTCACTAAGAATCACTTTCATATCTTCCAACTCCTCGAACAAGCTATCTTTCATTCTTTCATCGGTCTTACCTACCCTTAGTTATTTTCTTGGTTTTAAATTAATCCACCCTTACAACTAAGTCCAGAGTTGCCCATTATCTTGAACTTTCTGTGTACTGGCAAAATAGTTCTCCTGATCACATTTTACAGTTTTATCCCAATTAATGAAAGTCTTGTAATTGTTCTGTTGTTTCTGGAAATCTGACCAATTTGTCTAAATGCTTTGCCTTCTATCTTTCTCTGATTGTTTGGTAGTGGACTGATATACAAAATATACTCCCAACAGTACAATTGCAACTTTTTGATTCCTAGTTCAATCCACGTGACCGCATTTGATGATTCAAGTATATCGACCCTCCTCACAATTATAATTGTTTCTTTAGCCAAAGTTACAACCTACTGTTTTTGTTAACAACCCTCTCTATTCCATCTTAAGTGTTGATATTACCAATCCTTTAATCCATATTTTAGTGATAGCTAAGATATTGTACTTCCAATTGCCTAGCTGGCTTCACCTCATTTGCCTTATATTCACTATCCTTCTTGTATTGAAGTATATATCATTAATCACAAACAACTTCTTGTCTAATTTCTAACTGTTGTTTCCTTTGTCTTTCATACTGACTTACTAATTTTCTGTTTTGCATTTCTAACTTATTTTTGTCTCTTATTGTCAACTTACAAACCTCCCTGCCATGATGTATGGGTCCTCATTCTGTGGAGGTGTGACACATTCAGCTTGTGTAAATCCCATGAAATCACTACCACCCCCTGCCAAATTGGTCCCAATGCCTCAAGAATCTGAAGTCTTATCTCCTGCACCTATTCTCCAGGGCATATACATCTGCACCATCTGCTTATTTCTGTACTCAAAAGCTTGTTGCATCAGGGTAATCCAGAAATTGTTACCTTTTCACGTCTTGCTTTGTAATTTATTTCCTAGCTCCCAAAACTTCACCTGCAGAACCTCAAAGTTCTTTCTATCTATGTCATTGGCACTGTTATAGACCACGACTTTTGGCAATTCACCCTTCCTCTCAATGTTTTGAAACTGATCATCATAACCTTCACCCTGGCATCATGGAGGCAATTTACAATCCGGAGGCCATTGTTGAAATGGCTACTGTTGACACCACGTATTGAAACTCCTATCAGTATTGCTTTACTGACCTTTCCTCCTCTGCCACTGAACGGCTGAGCTATGTGTGGTACTTTGATGTACTCCCCAGAAGAACATTACCATCACCTGAATTAAAAGAACTGGGTGTAGAGGCTGATGCACAGAGAGAATTCCATCTGGTCTTTCTGTTCTGTCTCTCTGCCTACACATGCTTGATTTGAAGGCTGACCAGCTGTACAAACGTGCTACTTACATAGTATTCAGCCTCACTGATGCACTGCAGTCACACCAACTGACGCTTCCTGCACTGGGGGTTGTTCAGGATATAAGTGTCATGGAATTCCCACAAGACAGGATGTTCATTCAGTGGGCTAATATGCCCTACCATGCTTCTATCTATGAGACTGCTCACTAGATTTCTTTGTTTAACCTGCTGCCTTAACTCCGAGAAATGCAACTCACCAATCAGTCATGGACTTGCTCTCCTTTGCAACAGTCCTTGATATTTTTGTTGTTGTTTTTCAATTTGTTGAAAATATGCTGCTACCTCTGCTCACTGTCTTGCATTCTGCACTCTGTCCTGTATATATGATCTCTTCCTCTGTTTAAACCCCTGCCAACTCTGTTAAAGTCCACACTCTGCCCTGGGTCTTCTCACCAACTTTATTTATACTTCTTCCACCTCTGCTTAGGTCTGTGCCAACTCAGGTCAGAGATTTTCTTAAGATGCTTACATTTCTATGTATCAGTGAGTTGGCATGTAGGAGAATATTTTTAACGTTAATACATTTTTAGACATGGAGTCAAAAATGTTGGAGGAAGCATAATTGATATTAGATCTAAAAGAAAAATGGACTGACAAATGAGATTAAGTGAACAACCCTTTCAGTGACTTAGCACGGGTGCAATGAGCCAAATAGCTGCCTTTTATGCTGTAAAATTCTCTAATTCTATGGTGTTTGTGCTGGGAAAAACATACAATGGTGAAAGTCAGAACAGCTTTTCCAATATTTTCTGAATGATATGAAAACAATAGTTATATAATGTGTCCTTCTGTGGTTTGCTGACACCAGTTCAGAAGAAACTCTGACTAATTATGAGGTTACATATTTTCAAACATCAAGAGCAACATGACCAAGGTGATGAGAGTGTTGTATGCCTTATCTTCAGATCAGTGCAGCTAGATCTATGCTTACAGATGTTAGTATTTTTCTATTTACATGGAAAGTGTTATCAACAATGCTATCCAACAGTACCTTCTCAGCAATAACCTGCATGCAGATGCCTGGTTTGGGTTATGCCAGGGCCACTCAGCTCCTGACCTTATTATACCCTTGGGTCAAACATGGACAAAAGAGCTGAATTCCAGAGGTGAGGTGAGAATGACAGCCCTTGTCATCAAGGCCATATTCATCCAAGTGTGGCATCACAGAGTCCTAGCAAATTTGGAATCAATGAATATTAGGGCAAACTCTCCGGTGGTTGGAGTCATACCTGGTACATAGAAAAATGGCTATGGTTGCTGGAGGTTAGTTACTCAGCTCCAGGGAATCTTCATAAGAGTTTATCAGGGCAGTGCCCTAGGCCCAGCCATCCTCAGCTGCTATATCAATGATCTTTATAAGGTCAGAAGTGGAGATGTTCATTACACAATGATCAGCACCATTCACGACTCATCGGATACTGAAGCAGTCCATGTTCAAATGCAACAAGATCTGGACAATATCCAAGAATTTTAATCTAACTTTCCTTGTGATGTAACCTTGAGTTGCAATTTAACAAGGTAATGGACTTGTCCAACTCTTATGATACACAATTCAGAGATACAAAGAGAAACAAGTTGGTTTGATTAAATATTTTGCAATTTATACAAATCTCATTGAAATTAATCCTCTTTCTAATTTCCCCTGAGGCTGCACCAAATGTCTAATCTGAGGATTTTGGATGTAATTTCTCCTGGTAGCTAGATTAATACTACCATAAACATAGACTGTTCCCCTAACTTCACTGTTCCATGAAAATCATAAAATTTTAAAAAATAATGCATTTGTAATTTTACTTGAATTATAGATGAGGAAATTGCCCCAATATCTTTTCACATCTGTAAATACATAGGAACCAGAGAAATTGTTTTCCCTTTTTTCCAGGTAAAACTAGGGAATCAGCAACAGTGTTGAACAGACAGCGAGTAATATATCTGAGCGTAGTTAATTCATACATAGGATTAGGTCTCTCTGGTTGTTTCAGCAGTTATTGACCATCCTAATTGCCCTTGAACTGAATGGCTTGCTAAACTATTTAGCAGGGCTATTTAGAGTCAATCAGATTACTGTGAGCCTGCAGTCACATGTAGGCCAGATTGGGCAAGGTCTTTAATAAATCAGATGGATTTTTACGACAATCCGAAATGGTTACTGGGGACATTAGCTTTTATTTTCAGAATTTCTTAATAAATTCAGATTTCACCATCTGCCATGATTTGGTTTGAATGCATTTCTTTCAAATATTAACTTGGGACTCTGGTTTACTAATCCACTGATATTATCACTACACTGCTTCCTGCTCTTCATGTGAATAAGATTTTATATTGCTGCCTAGCTTAATTTAAAATAGTCCACAGGTATGTTAGTTTACAAAGAGGTTTTTGCGAGGATTTAAGAGCTTTCTGAAACTCAAGCTCCCTTAAGTATAAGAAGTATCATCAGAACCATTGAATAAGATTCAAGCTTAATCTTGCCTATCTTTCCTCCACGCGTACGTGCAATTTGGATAGCAAACAGAAATGAATGCCTAATCTCTCTAGCCAGAAAACCTACTAGACTCAAAGACTCATAGATGTTTGCAACACTGATCAAGGCCATTTGGCTCATCATGTCCACATTAGCCAACAAAAATCTGACTGCACTAATCCCATTTTTCAGCCCTTGGCTCATATGGCAACACGTGTGAATATTGAACTACTGCTTAAATGCTATGAGAGGTTTTGACTCAGCCATCTTTCAGGCATGAGTTCCAGACTTCCATCACTCTCTGGGTGATAAGATTTCTCCTCAACTCTCCTCTTAGCCTTCCACCTTTTGCCTTCAGTCCATGCCCCCTGGTTATTAGCCCCCTGGTTAATGGAAAATTCCTATCCACCTTATTTGTGCCCCTCATAATTTTATACAACTCTATAAGGTTCCCTCAACTTTCCTTACAGCTCAGAGGCAGCATCCTGGTAAATCTTCTCTGCA